AACTGTGCTTCACTGTTTCATGTGCATAATTGTGCAGTAAACCAAATGCAGTGAAGAGGACTGCACAAAAGACCCTGTGTCAGTTTGTGCTGGCAACCTACTGTGTACACACTGAACCTGTGCACATTTGTGTTCCATATAGAAAACACATGCAAGAGAGTGACTGTGGGCACTCGTGCATATTTGTACTTTTAATCAAAAGAGGGTTAACCTGCTAAGGAAGTAACAGATAGGTGAAATCCGGGAGAGTTTTGAGGATTTATATTAAAAAAAAACCAGTAATATGGAATACATTGCTATTGGAGCTTGGTTTCTACTAAAAGTTTAAATGTTTTGAATGTACCTTAATTATTGTGCATTTTTATATTGATGGATTTTAAGGGAAGGGTTCTTGCAGAAACACCAAGAGATTTGGGACAAATGTCATTTATAGTGTAATTTTGCTTCTTATTCACACACTAATGAAGCTAAAACCTTCAAACTATGTTTCGAGGCATAGTAACCTCTCTTTGTCAAGAGCTGCCATCATTTCAGTTGTTAACCTAGTGGTATTTTGGATATCCATATTTCAGGAAGCAAGGCACAAAGCTGCGTCGCCTGATGACCTTTGCTTGGCCCTGTCTGATTCAGAAAAACTGTGTAGATCCAACAACAAAGTACCATGGTCATCTCTTGCTGTCTCACAACATTGCCAAGTTTGCTATTCACAAGAGGATTGTGCTACAGGTCTGTGGCATTTCAGATTTGCTTAACCAACTGAGAATGGGTATAAACCCCATAGAACTTCACTTTTCAATGCTTCAATGCTTTTCATTATTGAATTTGTTTCTCCTTTGATACTTTGACTGATTTGCATGTTGTATTTTATCAGGTATTTCACAGCCTATTGAAAGCACATGCTGTGGAAGCACGTGCTGTTGTCCGTCAGGCTTTAGACATTCTGACTCCAGTATTACCGCATCGCATGGAAGATGGCTATGCAATGCTGACCCACTGGACTAAGAAGATCATAGTAGAGGAAGGTTACACTGTCTTCCAACTTGTACACATGCTGTAAGTTCACGTGGCAAAAATGAGGTAGTTTTTACAGCAAGAACTACATGTACTTCATCAGATGCAATGAGCAGGGACAACGTTAACTATGATGAGAGTTTAGGTACAATTTTGTAAGTTCACCTGGAAACTGACCCAGGGGGATATGTTTTCATTAACAAATCTTCCATTATATATTTCTTCACTAGTTATTAGTTTGTGTAATTTTTTATAGAGAATTGGATCAGCACATAATTTTCTGTAGAGCTCTTAATGTCTGTCATAAAAATAGTGATTTTTCCGTCACCACATTGAAAAATTTACAGCTGTTTAAATATCTACAACCTATTTTAACTTTTAAATTTAACATTTAAAGTGTTTTCAGTGTTACTTGTAACCATTTTTGTTAAGAAGAATGGTAGACTTTAACTTTGCTGTAAATTGCTGGGACAGAAGTAGGACTACTTAATGCTCACCACATTTAACAGAGAAACTTCTAAAATGTTCCTGAAATTCAGATTTGTTGCAGACATATTACAGTTTGTAGATATAAGACGAAAAGAAGTCAATTTGTTCATGTTGTGTCCG